GGCTTGCTTGGAGGACAGGGAACACTCCCGTGGGGGAACCACCCCAGAGCCTGCTGCAGCACACAGCTCCAGCCTCAGCACAGCCATGTGGTGGCAAGTGCCTCCGTCCCATCTCACCCCTCCAGCCCGGAGACGTGTCTTACCAGGGACATCCAGGATGCGGCCAACACTGAGGGCAGAGTTCCTCCTCTGTTTCATCTCATTCCACTCCTGGTACCCACATGTATATTTTCCTGCGCTTCTTGACGTGATGTTCAGGACCACGGAGTAGTTCAGCTGCCCTTGATGGCCTTTCTCGCTGTACAGCTGCTTGCCATCCTTGCAGATGATGGTTCGTATTACGGGTGACACCACAGGGAGAATACACTGGAGCACAACTCTGGTACCTGGCTGAGCAGATCTTGAGTTCATTTGGAGAGCAGGAGCTCAAAGATTCCCTGGAGGAGACACAGCAGTGAAGGGCTGCCATAGGGCAGAGCTAACAGTGGTTGGGCTTCAGAGTGCCCTGGGTCTGGGAGGGAAGGACTCACGAGTACCTGGGGAGCTGCAGATGTCCTGGAAGGTAATTCTGACACCTGTACGAAGGGGCAGAGAGAGATTTGCTGAGAGGGGCAGTGTCCAGGCTCATCCTGATGCCCCTGCCCACATCCTCACTGCTAAGCAGCCACCATCACACCTCCATGTTCTCATGCTGTACCTCTTCAATACCCCCTCAAACAATGCCACTTCCAATCCCATTTTGCGTGGATTCCTTTTTCCAGGTAAGTCCCATAGCTCCGTAAACACCTCATCAGTCCTAGAGAATCAGAGCAACACTCCAGAAAAATTTATGGTGCTGGAGAAGTGTGCCCCTTGCTCAGATGTGTTTTATACTTCGAGGAAGCCATCCCCATCCTGCTTTCCCCAGTGCAACTCTGCCCAACAGTACTGCACGCCTGCTCCACACACGCTGTCCCCATCCTCCCCTTAGCTCACCACTGTCCTGTCCTACCCCCAGCAGCAGCCCTCCAGCCCTCAGCCCCCACACCCAACAATGCCCCAACTCACAGAGCACCAGCAGCAGGACGGCAGGGCCAGAAGGAGACAGCCTTGCCCATGGTGCCTGCCCCAGCATCTCTTGGGGCACTGCTTTTGGGGAGCACCGTCTGCTTCAAGTTTCTGCTTTCCTCTGAGCGGGGGACAGTGGGGCAGAGGCTTGCGGTTCAGATGGGGGCTGTGCTGTTAGCTTTCTGTGGCCACCTGAGCCTGGCCCACAGCCAGAGGCTCTCATCAGTGGGGGCCTTGCCTAAGAACCTGCTACATCCGCTGCTTTGGTTGAGCCCCCACTGTTTTTCCTGTCCTCTCACACACTGCAGCACACGCTAGTTTTACTTGTATCTCAGCGGCAACATTGTCCCTGTAAAGAGCTCCTGATCCTTGTCCCCACTAGGATTTGCCCTCGTCTGACCACATCACTCTGCTTCTCTTCAATGTCGAGACAAATGATGGCATCAGGGGAATCCTGCACCAAGGCCAAAGCGACGCCAGAGCTCTGGGGCAGTTGCTATGGGCAGATTTCTCCTTCATCCTGTTGGTGATTCAGCTTATGAAGAACTCTAAGGGAGTCTCAGCTGGGGCCATACTGCTGCCAGCACAGCACTGTGGGAGCCATCTGCACCCACACTTTGACCCTCATGCGACCACACAACATCCAGGAAAGGCAGAGGCTTTGTCCTGAAGGCACCTAAGCTCCCCCACGCTGCTCTCTCAATTCCCTTCCTCGAAGGAAGGTGCTGAGGCAAGGGAAGCAGAGCAGTGGCAGCACAACCCTTGGGCATGCTGCCACAGCTGTCTTCAGCCCAATGGCAGCGGGAGTCTGGCAAATGTGTGGGGGTCATGCTCTGAGCATGTGGAGCAGGCTGGGGACAGCATAAAGCGCAGAGGGACATCAGAGCTCCATGGGGACTGGGATGTCTCCAGGCTGTCTGGCCTCGCGGGCACCATGGCTGCATCTCTCCAGGAGGAGGGTGATGATGGGGGCAGACAGCAGCAGGAGCAGGCTGAGGGCAGAGCGCAGGATCCAGACCTCCAGGGGCATGGCTGAGCCTGGGAGAGAGGAGGAACACAGTGTGGCCAAGGCAAGCCTTGGAGGACGGCTGTGCTGGGAAAGGCTGATGAGCAATGGCTCACCTCTGGAAGGGAGCTGGGCCTTGTGTGAGGGGCTGCTGCCTGTGGGAGACATGAACATGCTGTGAGTTTATGGAGCTCTTTGCTGGGATAATCCCAGATGCTGAGCAGGCCCTGAGCTCGTGTCTTGCTTCCTTGTGTACATGGTGAGCATTAACAACTGAGCTCATGTAAATTCCCAGACAGAGGTTAGTAAAAGTGTGAGGGAGAGCTTGGAGCAGTAGTGGCACAGGCCAGGGCCTACTGATATCCCCAACCCTTGCTTTTTTTACATGGGCACTGCAGAGCCCCATGTCTCAGCAGAGCTGCTACTGCAGGTACAGGGGAAAACCTGAGAACAGTTTTACGTCCAGGGTCTCCTGTGGAGTAGGGGGAACACTCCCGAGGGCTAATCACACCTGAGCCATGCCCTGTATGATGAAGCACACAGCTCCAGCTTCTGCACTGTCCACATCCCACTAGCCCCACAGCCCTGATGAAGGGTCGTGTCTCACCTGGCACAGACAGGGTCCAAGGAGCACTGAAAGGAGAGCACCCGAGCTGACTGGGGACTGGCCATGAGGACACAGAGCATTCCCTTCATTCCCAGGGAAGTCTGTGGTCTATCAGAGCCTGGATCAGAGATATCACCTCATCAGCTGACAATATTGCAGACAGCTGTGGAGGAAGCTGCGTCCTCTAGTCTGAGGGGAATGAAGAAAGCTTTCAAGGCCTTGGGACGGTTGGTGAAAGAGTCTGTAGTAAGAGTCCCTTTCTCTTCCCTCCATCCATTCTGGGGTGGTGACATTGTATAGAATAGAAGGATCTGGTCCATAAATGCTTGGCTCTGTGACCTGTGCTACAGGCCCAATTTTGGGTTATTTGGTAATGGCTGGTGTTATAAGACACCAGGCCTGAGAGGAATACTTGGGAAAGGTTTATCTCACAGGGTCCAGAGTGTTCTGGGACAGCAATTAGGAGGGCTCATTTGGAGAGCTTCAAGTTACATCCGCAGGGGGATGGGGTTGTAGCAGGGCTTGTAGCAGTGGGGCAGTGCCCCCGCAGAGATGAAGACCAGGAGGCCTCCCACCCCTCATGGGGTGAAATCAGCATGCTCAGCTCCTTCCCTGAAGTGCCTGGACACCAATGCGTGTGGCATGGGGAATAAGCAGGAGGAGTTAGAAATCTGTGTTTGGTCAGAAGACTGAGGTCTGGTGGCAGTTACAGAGACATGGTGGGACAGCTCACATGGCTGGAATGTGGTCATGGATGGCTATGTCCTGCTCAGAAAGACAGGCCAGCAAGGTGAGGTGGCGGAACTGCTCTTCAAGTCAGAGAGCAACTCCATTGTATTGAGTACTGTTCAGGGGCAGATGAGGAGCGAGTTGAGAGTCTGTGGGTGAGAATTAAGGGGCAGGCTGGCATGGGGTTTACTGTTGTGGGTGTGTGTTACAGGCAACCAGAGCAGGATGCGTAAACTGAAGAGGCCTTCTACTGGCATCTGAGTGCAGCCTCACGACCAAATCCATGGTTATCGTGGGGGATTTGGCTAGGTCTCCTTGATCTTGTTGTCACTAACAAGGAAGGGCTGGTTGACATGGTGAATCACAAAATCAAAAATTTTAGGGGTTGAAAGGGACCTCAAGAGATCATTGGGTCCAACTCCCCTGCCAATGCAGCTTGCCTAGAGCAGGTTGCCCAGGTAGCCGTCCAGACAGGACTTGAATATCTCCAGAGAAGGAGAGTCCACAAGCTCTCTGGGCAGCATGTTCCAGTGCTTTGTCACCCTCACTGTGAAGAACTTCTTTCGCGTGTTGGTGCGGAGCTTCCAGTGCTCCATTTTTTGACCATTGCCCCTTCTTCTATCCCCAGAAAAAATGAAAAGGGGTTTGCCAAATCCCACTGCCTCCCACACTTAAAGTATTTGTATACATCGATAAGGTCTCCTCTCATTCCTCTCTTCTCAAGGCTGAAGTTTGAGGCCAGTCTTGGTTGCAGAGACCATGAGATGGTGCAGTTCAGGACCTCATGTGTCAGGAACAGAATAGTAAGCAGAATCACAACCCTGGACTTCAGTAGGGACAACTTTGGCCTTTTCAAGCAATTGCTAGGGGAAATCCCTTGGGACAACCGAAAGGGCTTCTACAAATACTTTGCAGATAAAAGTTACACTGGAGGCAATGGAGGCCCTCTGATGATAGAGGTGTTTGGCCTGGCGTGGTTTAACCTGGCTGGCAGCTGAACACAACACAGCCATTAACTCACCCTCCCCACTCGTGCTCCAGGATGTGAGAGCAAAACGGGAAAGTGAAGCCTGTGAGTTGAGATAAAGACAGTTTATTCAGACAGGCAAATAATAATAACAACAATGTGAAATGTGTTCATCTAATTCGTCTCAATATGGAAAAATGCTAGGGCCGCATGGTATGATGAATGGGACCTTCTGTCTTACATACCCTTGTGTAACCACAAGTCTAAGAAAAACCGAGTGGTTAATGTCTATAGTTCTTGTATCTTGCAAAGGAATGCTCCAGCAATTCGTGTCAATAGAGAGCTTGAAGGGAAATGAATTTGTAGGCTGTCCCTACAAATGGGTGGGTGTGGAAAGGATAGAAATGGATTTTGAACAGACTGCAGATGTTTTCTAGACTGATGGCGAGCTGCAAAGCTATGAGCCAAGTCTGTCAATAGGAAAAGATGAAGGAGGCCTTTGTAGGAAGAACACTGCCCTTGAGATACATGTAAAAACAGCAAGAGTTGTGGTGTGCGAGAGGACAGAAATAACAGCGGGGGCTCAAAAAAAGCAGCGGATGTAAAAAGGGCGGAGGCATGGCCCTGCTGATGACAGCAATGCTTGGTGTGGCCAAGGCTCATGCGGCCACAGAAAGCCCACAGGACAGCTCCCGGCTGCACTGCAAGCATCTGTCCCACCATCCCCAGCTCAGAGCAAAGCAGATACCTGAAGCAGACGCTGCTCCCCAAAAGCATCACCCCAGAAGATGCTGGGGCAGGCACCATGGGCAAGGCTGTCTCCTTCTGGCCCTGCCGTCCTGCTGCTGGCACTCTGTGAGTTGGGGCATTGCTGGGTGTGGGGGCTGAGGGCTGGAGGGCTGCTGCTGTGGGCAGGACAGGCCCATGATGGGCACAGGGGAGGATGGGGACAGCGTGTGTGGGGCAGGTGTGCAGCACTGTGGGGCAGAGTGTGTTTTGGGAAGGCAGGATGGGGATGGCTTCCTCCAATTATAAAACACATCTGAGCAAGGGGCACACTTCTCCAGCACCATAAATTGTCTGGAGTGTTGCTCTCAGACTCTAGGACTGCTGAGGTCTTTACGGAGCTATGGGACTTACCTGGAACAAGGAATCCACGCAAAATAGGATTGGAAGTGGCATTGTTGGAGGGGGTATTGAAGAGGTACAGCATGAGAACATGCAGGTGTGATGGTGGCTGCTTAGCAGTGAGGATGTGGGCAGGGGCATCAGGATGAGTCTGGACACTGCTCCTCTCACCAAATCCCTCTCTGCCCATTGTTACAGGTGGCAGCATGACCTCCCAGGACATCTGCAGCTTCCCAGGTACTCGTGAGTCCTTCCCTCCCAGACCCAGGGCACTTGGAAGCCCAACCACTGTGAGCTCTGCCCTATGGCAGTCTTTCACTGCTGTGTCTCCTCCAGGGGATCTCCTGGCTCCTGCTCTCCAAATGAACTCAACTTCTGCTCAGCCAGGTACCACAGTTGTGCTCCAGTGTATTCTCCATGTGGTGTCACGTGTAAGACAAGTCATTTTCTGCAAGGATGGGATGGAGGTGTACAGTCTGAAAGCCCAGCAAGGGCAGCTGAGATACTCCGTGGTCCTGAACATCACGTCAAGGAGCGCAGGAAGATATACATGTGGGTACCAGCAGAGGAATGACATGAAATACATGAGGAGCTCTGCCCTCAGTGCTGGCCGCATCCTGAATGTCCCTGGTGAGTCATGGCCCTAGGCTGGAGGGGTGAGAAGGGACGGAGGCACTTGCTACCCCAAGGCTGTGCTGAGGCTGGAGCTGTGTGCTGCAGCAGGCTCTGGGGTGGTTCCCCCATGGGAGTGTTCCCTCTCCTCCAAGGCAGCCCCTAGAGAGAGAGAGTTGTTCTCAAGGGGTCCTCCTGTCCCTGCAGCAGAACCTCTGCTGAAGATATGGAACATGGGTCATGCTTCAACATCTGCCCTGTGCATTGATGAGCCTATGGCAGGAGAAATGTGGAGATTGTCATGATCTGGGCAGTTACCTATGTGTGAGGAAGAAGTCTATATTTATGGCTCTGAAAATGGGTCTGGAGCTCTAGGGTGAGAACAAGGAGATGCTGGATTTCTTAGGTTTTGGAGACCTCTACGTGGAACAACAAACCAGCTGAAAGGGACATGGTATTGACCAAGGGAGAAGACCACAGGGGTGCTGGATTGAGATGCAGGGGTGACTAAGTGCCTGACAGGCAAGGACACAGGAGTGAGGACATGGCAAGGACCCAGCAGCAGGGATATGGGCACAAGCATGTGGGTGCCCCAGCTCTCACTCCCTCTAAAAAAAACCCTCTGTGCCCCAAGGTGCAGCTGCTGGCGTGAGCACCCAGGGCATCTGCAGCTCCCCAGGTGAGGTTGAGCGTGGGGATGGGTGACTGAAGAGAGGTGTGTGTGGGGTGGTGATGGCAAGGGAGAGGGAATTGGTTCTCTGGGCAAGAGCTCCTGGGAAGGAATCACTTCCCTGCATGGAACACAAAGCATTTTGTGCCCAGTTCTGGGATTCCCTGTTCAGGAGGGGCATAGAACTACTGGAGAGAGTCCAGAGGAGGGCTGCAAAATGATCAGCGGACCAGAGCCAAGAGAACTGAGCCTGTTTAGCCTGGAAGAGAGGAGACTGAGGGGAGACCTCATCCATGTCTATAAATATCTGAGTGGAGGGTGTTGAGAGGATGGAGCCGGTCTCTTTTCAGTTGTGTCCAGGGAAAGGGCGAGAGACAATGGGCTCAAACTGAAGCACAGAAAGTTCCATCTGAATATGAGGGGCATTTCTTTACTGGGAGGGTGACAGAGCACTGGAACAGGCTGCCCAGAGATGCTGTGGAGTCTCCTCTGCAGATATTCCAAATCCAGCTGGATGCCATCCTGTGCAGTGTGTTCTAGCTGATCCTGCTCAGCAGAAGGTTGCACCAGAATCACAGAAAGATGAGAGTGGTGGTGCCGTATTAAATCGGCAGGCACACCTTGGCCAAGCTATACTTAACCACTCATGAGGTAATTTAGACAGCAGATCCATGGGAGCCCATGTTGGCACAACAGCCGCGGGCACTTTTATGCCTTCCGTGGGGATGGTGCTGGCTGTCGATGGGGGGATGTGGCCATGGGGCTGAGGCTCATTCTGGGAAGGATCTATGTGCACTGTAGACACTAAACCTGTACCTTTGTCCTGCCAGGCAATGTGGCCAGCACCCCAGAAAGGCCATCATCCCCAGGTGAGTGATTCCCTCCTGCACCACCGGGACCTCCAGGTCCCGCTGTCCCTGCAGCACTACCTCTGCTGCAGACATGGGGCTGTGCAGGGCCCATGCACAGAGAAGAAGTGCTGGGGATGTGGATGGATGCTGAGTCAAGCCAGGGATGCTCCAAGGTCTGCCCTGTACATTGATGAGCCTATGGCAGGGCAAGTAGATTAATTGTCATGAGCTGAGCCGTAATGTACATGTGAGCAAAGGGACAATATTTCTGGAACTAAAAGTGTAGCTGGAGCCATATTGTGAAAGGAGTGATATTGGAGTGCTCAGGGATCCAGGGACCTCTCCCTGGAAAAACAAACCAACCAAAAATGGCTGGGGATGGACACAGGGCAGAACACCTCTACTGCAGACCTGGGGTGTTGCAGGGCCCATGCATAAAAAACATGGGCTCGGGATGTCAATGGACCCCGGGCTGTGCCACTACTGCTCCAAGCTTTCCCTCTAAACTTTATGAACCTATGAAAATCAATTTACACAAGCTCAGTTGTTCATTTTGGCCATTTGCTCCAGGAAGCAATACAAGAGATCAGGGTCTGCTCAGCATCTGGGATTGTCCCAGCAAAGAGCTCCATAAACTCAAAGAGTGTTCATGTCTCCCACAGGTAGCAGCCCCTCACACAAGGCCCAGCTCCCTTCCAGAGGTGAGACATTGCTCATCAGCCCTTCCCAGCAAGGCTGTCCTCCAAGGCTTGCCTTGGCCACACTGTGTTCCTCGTCTCTCCCAGGGTCAGCCATGCCCCTGGAGGTCTGGATCCTGCGCTCTGCCCTCAGCCTGCTCCTGCTGCTGTCTGCCCCCATCATCACCCTCCTCCTGGAGAGATGCAGCCACAGTGCCAACAGGTCCAGGCAGCCTGGAGACGTCCCTGTCCCCATGGTGCTCTGATGTTCCCCTGGGATACATGCTGTCCCCAGCCTGCTCCCCCATGCTCAGAGCATGACCCACAACGTGGCCAGGCTCCCGCTGCCATTGGGTTCAAGGCAGCTGGGGCAGCATGCCCAAGGGAAAAGCGACTGCTCTCTCCCCCATCAAGGATTGTCACTGCATCGTGCACCCTTCTGGCTGTGTTCAACCCCAACACCCACGTGGCTTTGCTCCCTGTCCACAGAATCACATCTCCATCGCGGGATCCTCCTCTACATACCAGAATGGGTTGGTGTCACGGCTGCACCCCCAGGTAGCCATGCTCTGCAGCTCCTGCATCACTCCAGCACCTCCCTGTGCCCAACGTGCCGACCGCAATGGGCACATCCCCAGATAGTTATGGTGCCCTGTATGGAGGCACCTTGATGGGTATTGGTCCTGTGGGAGGCGAGTTATAAAGGATTGGTTCAGAATGCACCAGCTGATGTTGCTGCTCTGTATTTGAAGGGAAGACAGTGAGCAGAGATGGGAGAGCTCCTCTTTGACTGCTGTGTGGGGCCATGTGTCTTGCAAGGGAGCTCCTGTTCTCTGTGCCCTGCCACCCAGGAGTTCCCCTACCTGCTGACATTGCCCTGGCAGATGTGTCATGGAAAACTGCCTGAGATCTGAGAATTGCTGACACCATGTAGAGGTCCACGGGGTGGCCATGCCTGGCACTCTGCACCTCATGCCCACAAATCCCTATGCTGGATCTTCTGTCTCTCAATGCGCCATCCCCAGGAGACAACCCTGAGCAGGGACATTGTGCATGGGGGCATCCAGCTGTGGGGCAGGTGGGGACGGGGTCTCAGCATGGCTGGCCCCCACACCCACAGACCATCCCCAGCATTGCACTATGGAGTTTTAGCCATCCCACACCAATACCAAGAAGGAGCCAAGGTGTCCCTTCTCTGCAGCTCCCAGTGTTGACATCTGGGGCCTTGGTGTGCAGTGGGGGACTCTGGGATAAGATGGGTTCAGGCAGGAGAGGAGCTGCTCAGCTGGGAGGCACGAGGATGCAGGACTGCACGGAGGGAATATGGGATAGGAAAATGGGTTCAAAATTCAGCAAGAGCTGCTTGGAGGCAGAGCTGGAGGGAATGTGGGTTTCAGGCTCCTTCCTGCAAGCACAGTCCCTCACCTCCCATGCCCTCATCAAAGCACTTGTCCCACAGCTTCCTTCAGGCCCATGCATGCATGCTTCACAGCACAAGCCTCCAGGATACTCTTCCTCAAAGGGAATATACAGATTTGAGTGGACGGAGCTACTCCCTCTTTCTCATACAGCCTCCAACCCTCCCTGGTGAGCGAATCGCACTGTGGTGTCAGCTGCAAACTTTCTGAGGGTAGCTCTTGTTCCTAACAGTTACAGCCTTTTTGCCTTCTTTGTGGTTGATTTAGCACTGCTATAGATGTGACTGGAGTGTCCCTGTGAATGGCCTATGAGGACTGTTTTATCAACACGTCAAGTGTCAATAAAGAGCTATTTGTATTTGTATGTTCTTTCTTTGAGGTCTCTGATGTCTTGGCGTTTCAGAACAACTGCTAACAAGTAGTAACTGTTCTGGCTTCTGAATGGGACACTATGCAAGCCCCTGATATCTGGCCAGGTGGCCAGGAGACTAAGGAGAAGAAAGAAAGAAGCTGAAGGACGGCTAGAAGACAAAACTTGCAGGGGTACACTGTGTAAACTTTCATTATAACCATATTTTGAATTCTGAGCCATTGATAGCAGTGGAGGACTTGTTAGTGTTAGGTCAGAGGTTGGACTCAATGATTTTGAGGTCTCTTCCAACCTAGAAGTTCTGTGATTCTGTGATTCTGTAATTTGGATCCCTGGAGTACACTACCAGTTAGCAGCCTTCAGCTAATGTGGTGCAATTGCCTAAAGTAACTAGGAAAATAAAACTAACATTCATGTTTTAAAGAAAATGTACAGCACTTAAGAGGCTTTCAGGGTTAGGCGTAGCTGCATTACCTAAGCGTTCCTTAGGCTTCCAACCTTAGATGCTATCACATGGGGGGAACCTGGTGTGCAGGTTCTAAGGGAATGTACGGAGCATAGAGTGGGGTGGAGACACCGCGGCTAGGCTCTGTGAACATGTAGGGACTCGATTCTTCTTGTGCACACCGAGATCGACAAGCTACACTTTTTACTACCCTGAGACAAGGACCTGTCATGTTTTGACAAATGCTGTACCCTAGTGTACTTTTCCTCATCCTAATATCATTATAATACCAAAACACGCCTCCATCCCAAAAGCTACCTGCCTCCAATGTGTGACCACCCCTCTCTGAGCATGCACTCTGAGTTTCTCAGAGCCTATTACTTTAAACGGAGACGGGATAACTTTTCACCAATCATAACTAAGATATGCTTGACTAGAGTCACTCAAGCTCCACCTAAAAGATAGAAAATAATATAAATTGGCCTAAGAGAGAGGGGATGGTGGGGAAGATACCACTGTCAGGGGAGATACCACCCCGAGGGAATACACCATCCTGAGGACCTCCTGACTCCTGGGATCAGTTGATGGGCTGAGCTTCTCTTCTACCCTCTCCCCCATTGGGAGGCCTTTGGGTGAGATTTGAAATCTTGGTTATTCTGTGTGTCTCTGCTGAAACTTTGAAATCTCTATAGAGTCTTTGTGCCTTTTAACGCACTTCCAGGTTGCACACCTGTGTCACCTACATGTATGTCACCTGTGTATTTCATACATGCTAGCTTGTTTTTGCAGACAGTAACTATGGCTGGCAATCCAAAGAACCTGTGTTCCTGTTGCTGTAATAAATCAAACTTGAATGCATTGTTCCTACCCATGATAGTGTGAAATGTGTTCATCTGATTCGTGTCAATATGGAACAATCCTAGGGCCACATGATATGATGAAATGTGACCTTCTGTCTTTCATACCCTTGTATAACCCAAGTCTAAGAAAAACAGGATGGTTAATGCATATAGTTCTTGTATCTTGCAAAGGAACATTCCAGCAATTCGTGTCCATGGGGGATAAGAGAACTAATGAATATCAGAATAACTGCTAAATATTATGATTATTGCATGGGACACTATGCAAGTCTCTGATATCTGGCCAAGAGATTAAGGAGAAGAGGAAAGCTGAAGGATGACTCAAAGACAAAGCTTGCAGGGGACGCTGCACACATCTCTCACATCCAGCCTAGTTGGACAAAGGAGAAGGACAAGTAAAAAAAACTGGGAGGAAGACTATGAGCCTTCAGCAGGAGAGACCCCCAGAGAGACCACTGGAGATTGATATGCATGAGCCAGCTGTAGGGTTCGGATTCCGGGACATAATTATAATAACCCTGCATTTTCTAGAAGTGGTAATGAATATGTGGGAGCCTAGGAGCATAAAAATCAGAAGCCTGATATCACTTGTGTGCGTCTTGGTGGAGCAGAGACTCCCGGCGCACCCAACGCTGTTTGCTTACCTCTATCTATTTAATAAGTTGTAAATTTTGTAATCCTATTTGGTACTTAGCCATTTATTACAATAATTTTCAATAAACACAACTAGAATAAGGGTGGTTATACGTTTTTGGTGAATCCCTGACCATGGTAGTTCAGTGCTCTGAATCCAACCAGGCGCCTAATGGTTAATGCGGTATTGGTGAATCTGTGATTGGGATAGTTCAGTACCATGAATCCGACTGGATTCATAACGGTTAATCAGCTACACCGCTTAACACGACACCAGACCACCTGGTTCTGCGTGGGCTCCTCTCCACGGGCTGCAGCTCCGGCCTGAGGCCTGCTCCTGTGGGGCCTCTAAATGGGCCACAGCCACCTGCTCCACCAGGGGCTCCTCCATGGGCTGCAGCGTTGAGATCTGCTCCATGTGGGACCCATGGGTGCAGAGGGACAGCCTGCTCCACCAGGGGCCTCTCCACAGGCCACAGGGGAACTTGTGCTGCATGCCTGGAGCACCTCCGGCCCTCCTGCTGCACTGACCTTGGTGCCTGCAGGGCTGGTTCTCATTCTTCCCTCTGCCACCTGTAGTTGTGCAGCAGGTTTTCTTCCCTCCTGAAATATGCTCTCACAGAGGTACAATCCTGTCGTGGTTTAACCCGGCCGGCAGCTAAACACCACGCAGCCGTTCGCTCACCCTCCCCCCTCCCTCTCTGGGACGGGGGAGAGAAATGGAAAGTGAAGCCCGTGAGTTGAGATAAAGACAGTTTAATAAGACAGGAAAATAATAATAACAAAATAATAATAAAAATAATAACAATAATAATACAATGGTGATAATAGGAAAGTAATAATAGTATGTACAAACAAGTGATGCACAATGCAATTGCTCACCACTCGCTGACCGATGCCCAGCCTAACCCCGAGCAGTCCGGCCCCTTCCCCCCCAGCTAGCCACCCCTATATATTGTTTAGCATGACGTCAGATGGTATGGAATACCCCTTTGGCTAGTTTGGGTCACCTGTCCTGGGTCTGTCCCCTCCCAGCTCTTACTGCACCCCCAGCCTGCCCGTTGGCAGGACAGAGCAAAAGGCTGAGATGTCCTTGGCTTAGTATAAGCACTGCTCTGCAACAATTAAAGCATCGGGATGTTATCAGCACTCTTCTCATCCTAAGCCAAAACACAGCATTCCACCAGCTACTAGGAAGAAAATTAATTCTGTGCTAACTGAAACCAGGACATCTATCCACCCCTTATTCCATACCATTTATGTCATGCTCAGGTTACACTCTTTTCCATACATTCTAATTAGTCACCTATAGTAATCATGGTAGTGATAACATACAGTATAATATACTATTTAACATGGTACAATTCAGTTCATGGGCTATTCTCACCCAGTATTAAATCTCCTTGAGGTACACACCGCACCTCTCCGTTCTTTTGCATCACCCACCAAGTGTATCCAGGTCCCTGAGCGAAAACAATTCCACGAATAGGTTTGCCTTTTCCTGAGGCAGGAGTAGCCCAGACTGTTTTACCCAGCATATTTTTTACATGCACTACAGGAACTTTATCCCCATCTACAGTACGTAACAGGTTTGATTGGGCAGGTCCAGCTCGGTTGGTAGATCCCCTAGTATTGACTAACCAAGTGGCCTTTGCTAAATGCGTATCCCAGTTTTTGAACGTCCCAGCGCCCATTGCTTTCAAGGTAGTCTTTAACAGGCCATTGTATCGTTCAACTTTCCCGGAGGCTGGTGCATGATAGGGGATGTGATACACCCATTCAATACCATGTTCTTTGGCCCAAGTGTCTATAAGGTTGTTTCGGAAGTGAGTCCCATTGTCTGATTCTATTCTTTCTGGGGTGCCATGTCGCCATAGGACTTGCTTTTCAAGGCCCAGGATGGTGTTCCGGGCAGTGGCATGAGGCACAGGATATGTTTCCAGCCATCCGGTGGTTGCTTCCACCATTGTAAGTACGTGGCGCTTGCCATTGCGAGTTTGAGGGAGTGTGATGTAATCAATCTGCCAGGCCTCTCCATATTTATATTTCAGCCATCGTCCTCCATACCAAAGAGGCTTTGACCGTTTGGCTTGCTTGATTGCAGCACATGTTTCACAGTCATGAATAACCTGTGCTATAGCATCCATGGTCAAGTCCACCCCTCGATCACGAGCCCATCTGTATGTTGCGTCTCTACCTTGATGGCCTGAGGTGTCATGGGCCCATCGGGCTATAAATAATTCACCTTTATGCTGCCAATCCAAGTCCACCTGAGCTACTTCAATCTTAGCAGCCTGATCCATCTGCTGGTTGTTTTGATGTTCTTCAGTAGCCCGATTTTTGGGCACATGAGCATCTACGTGGCGTACTTTCACAGCCAGGTTCTCTACCCGAGCAGCAATATCTTGCCACAATGCAGCAGCCCAGATGGGTTTGCCCCTACGCTGCCAGTTGTTTTGCTTCCATTGCTGTAACCATCCCCACAGGGCATTTGCTACCATCCATGAATCGGTGTAGAGATAGAGAACTGGCCATTTTTCTCGTTCAGCAATGTCTAAAGCCAGCTGAATGGCTTTCACTTCTGCAAACTGACTCGATTCACCTTCTCCCTCAGCAGCTTCTGCAACTCGTCGCGTAGGACTCCATACAGCAGCCTTCCATCTCCGATGCTTCCCCACAATACGACAGGACCCATCAGTGAACAGGGCATATTTCTTTTCATTCTCTGGTAACTGGTTGTACAGTGGGGCTTCTTCAGCACGACCCACCTCCTCCTCTGATGATATCCCAAAGTATTTGCCTTCTGGCCAGTCCATGATCACTTCCAATATTCCTGGGCGACTGGGGTTTCCTATTCGAGCCCGCTGAGTAATCAATGCAACCCACTTGCTCCATGTAGCATCAGTTGCATGATGCGTAGAGGGGACCCTTCCCTTGAACATCCAGCCTAGTACCGGCAATCGGGGTGCTAGGAGGAGCTGAGCTTCAGTACCGACCACCTCCGAAGCAGATCGAACTCCTTCATATGCTGCCAATATCTCCTTTTCAGTTGG